TTTATCCCAAGATATTTACAAGAATTCGTTGGATGTATCAAATTATTAGCTATCTAGGAGAATTTTCAGATAATCTATGGAATTCTCCAGATTTTGAACCAGCTTTCGACTTTCTCCGTCAATATTTGAAGGGCATTAACTGATCTTTTCAAGGTTGTATCGTGCGTCACTACAGCTATATCGTCCGCATATTGTAGCATATAAGCTGAATTGGTGGATGTAACAGGCATCATATCAACAAACATTGAATAGTTTAAAACCAAATTGATGAGACGGAATGTGCCGATCAACATAAACCAACAACTTACTCTTTAATATTTTTTCGAAATTTTTCCCAATAACGGGTAAAATTGTTATTGGTCTGTAGCCACTCGGAGACTTTAAGTTTTCTCCTTTTCTAGACAAATTACTACTCCGGATTTCCATTTAGGTGGAAAAAAATGTTTCGAAATGCAAAAATTGTATGTTCATCTAACTGTCTAATCATTTTTTTAGAAACGTTGTCATATCCCGGTGCCGAGATTTTACCTTTTGCGGTAAAACAAAACTACATCTTCGGTAGTTTCAAATGAACTTTGACGAAAGTCATCATACCTCAAACTTGACTCAATTCAAAAATCAAAACATTTTTCAAGATAATCAGCTTGTATTAGGGCTATGTCTTCGTCCGTGGAATAATGGTATCGGAAATGGGGTCGATCAGTGCATGAGGAATCGAACTCCTGTTGTAATTAGACATTTTTTTAATTTCCTGCCAAAATTTTTGAAAAACAGATTTCTTTGCATGCTTTCATGTATTTGGTTGATTTGTATTATAGAATTAGTTTTTGTATCGCTTTATTAAATTCATTAAATTTGCGCTTTAAATTTACATCGTTGGTTTGGTTAAATTCCTGGTACATTTGTCTTTTTTCTCTTATAAGACGAATAATGAATGGAGGTAAAGGAAATGAATATCCTTTAAGCTTTATCTTTGGCGAATGTTCTTTAACTGCAGCCCTGAAACTATGCATAAAAGTGGAGATATGTTTTGATGTTCTTCAATCCATGTATTTAGGTCGACATTTACTTTTTTCATGTTGCAAACGTTGACATTATATTTGATGGTGGAGTTAACTGGAACGTTCGGTTGGGAATATATTTTAAAATCAATTCCTAGGTGGTCACAAATCGTTCCAACATCATATATAAGAGGGAGCATCTTAGATTAGCATAGAAATAAATCTGGAGTCGTACTGTTATGTTACACAATAAATGAATTTGTGATGGCGATTTTATGTATTTTTGAACTTTTGATTTTTGGCAAGATATACACGTTTTGCACCAAAATTTAATTTGTTTAGTTAAGTGTGGCCAAAAGAAACGATTTTTAATGTGGCTTAACGTAGATTTTAAACCTAGATGAGCTATAGAATGAAATTTATCAAATTTCAAAGTTTTTTAGAAATGTACAGTCTTGGCCATGAAGAAAGAATCTTTGTAGCAAAGATCTAAATTAGAAGATTGACTTTTAATTTTAGATAAATAGTATTTTTTATTTGTTTTTAAAGATTGATTTTGTAGTAAGTATTGTAGTTCTTTATCGGAACTTTGTGTTTCTTTAATTGTTTTTTCAGATGGATAAGTAGATGTTAAAGAATCGGTAGTCATTCTAATGAGTAAGTAATGTAAGAGATTTCAGCTGTTAGCTCAACTATGTAGTTAATTTGCCTAGCAGTTTTTTTCTGTTTTTATGATCTGTGATAATTTTGAATTGGTTCCCTTGTAAGAAATGTTTAACCGCGGAATACCTAGCTAAGAGTTCTCTGTCAAAGGTGGAATACTTCATTTGGCTGTTAGACATTCTTTTGGAAAAGAAGGCTACTGATGAAGATGATGGACCATCAGTGTAGATGGTCGGCTTTTTCCCTGTGCTAAAGTTGCTTTGGGGTATCGTCTCAATGCCAAAGTGTGACCTGTTTAAGAAAGTAGATGTAATGTAGTCTGTGCGAGTTTTAACAAGGAACAGCCTCACTCCAGAGTTCCCTCCAGACTATTCCCATTTCTCCAAGCTGTTTATAATCCACTGATCGCAATTGAATGTAAATATGATTATGTTAATTTAATGTTGAATTTTTTATGAAACTAAAATGTAAATATTGAAGGTAGTGAACTGAGCAAAGAAGTGTAACGAAAGAGTGTGGTGTATTGAATTTAGAGCATAACTGTTTGAGCAAATGCTTTTCTCTTGAGACACTAGTCCAGCCCAGCTAGCACTTCCCAGTGTGTGTCTGAGCCCGCTGGCCGACTCCCACGATTCCATTTGAATTACAATATATTTAAATGAATAAAGCGCTCCTTATGCGGCCGCACTCCGCGGAAGGTGACTCGGAGGGCACCGCGCGTTTTTAATATTCATGTCCGGGCATCGGCGCTTTAACTGTATCGGTTAATGCATTAGCTCCAGGCCGGGGTCTTGAATTATTCAAGGGGCCGCGACCGAGCGCCTCGGCGCGTTAAATATTGATGCAAACGAGAGTTTAATTGAGGACGGCACTCGCCGCTACATATTTTTGTAATTAAGAGGATTTTTACCGAGAAGGTCGCGCGGTAAATCGTAATTGTAGTTTCGGAGACGCGTGGAGTGCTCCATTTGAAAACAATGCTGACGACCAACGTTAAGGTAGCGATACGGCACGTCCGCCCTTCCAGATAAACAATAATTCCGGCGCAATCGTTCTAATTTATCTCGAGGAAACGGTTAAACAATCTCGGGCCCACGCGATCACACCGCTGCGTCGCAACCATTGTGCCACACATCGTATTTATGTTTGTACGACCAGGAGCAGGACAGACACGCGACGTTTAATTGTCTAGCTTGGAATAATTCGCGACCACCCAAGAGTCCAAACACGTCATTTATTTCATTCATTTAACTGTAAGATTTATTCAAACAATAATGCCATCATCAAACAAAATCTTTAACTTAATGAGTTTCAAAGTTTAAAAAACTAATAATTATTCTTATCCAACTTATCGAGGAATCTCATTTAAATTGAACCGCGTTTAAACCTGAGAAGCTTAAATCGGTTCCAACCCTAACAAATATTGCACCTGTTATACGAACTCTGGAAAACCTCTTAAAGTATTAACTGAGCTAATAGTCCGTTTCAGGAGACGCTTAAAACTTTCAGGCGCGTTACCATTCAGAGTGGTGCGATGATTTATTATAGATTTCGCGGCCATGGGGATTCCCGAACTTTACATTAATTACGAAGGCGTTATCGGGTGTAAATTGTCGGTGAGAACTGAGAATGCACCGAGGCATTTGATTTATTTTCGCAATCCGAACACAAAGCGCTACATACAAAGAGATCTATTCCGATAAAATTTGTTTTAGTGAGTATTTTACAAACTGTCTCTTAAGATAGTTCAATTAGTAAACGACCAGAGGCAATCAATAACACGTTAGAGATGGCGTGCGTTAGCTGCCAGTTAATGGGCTCTAATGAAAAGTCAAAGTGGCACGATTCGAAACGGAACGCGCGGCCGCGGGCGCGCAATTGAATAATTCGCGGTGCCGCGTTTTTCGATCCATAAATCAGATAGCGGATTTATTATCCGGAAATGCCTATTGTTAATATATCGCCGTCTACCTGCCCACAAAAAGCAATTCCGCCGCCGCGCTGAAATATTAACAGGACAAACGTTGTGACGCCCTCCGCATGACTTGGCTTTATTAAAATTTCACGGTGAGTTATGACCTCGGAATACGATTAGTTCGCGAGCGTGACTAATTAATTTTTGTTGCTGTGCTTTAATCTATTAGTAGCTTCATATAAAAAATATATGATGAAAATTTATCTTGAAGAACTTAGAATGGTAAGACCAAGATAACGTTTCTAGGAGTGATATTTACGAGGAAAACCACTAAGAGAGACGTTGTACATCATCACTCGTTATCGCCCTTTGTAACTATTGTAGCGGACGGCCTCTTTTTCAACGACAACAGAGGCAGTTTGCCGAGATGATGATTTACCGTTTTATTGCAGTCCTGCCGCGGACCTTCGTATGCGCGGAAAGAACCTCGCTAAGTGCCGCAAGGGTTAACATTGTCGAAAACGCTTTTACGACTATTTACTGGTCCGAAAGCCGAGGGATGGCCGTAAACTTTATATGGGCGGCAATAAAAAATTTAGGGCCCCGCTCGGAGTGTGTGCGACAATAAGAATTTATTAAACCGGGCGTGCTGTGAAACAAAGGGCGGCATTAACATATGCATGCGGTCGTACGTCAAACGCTGGAGTCGCTAGAAACTCGGGATCCACTACAGTTTTTATTATTAAAGAAATCGTTTCAAGCGATTTATGAACGTCGTATTTCACATATTTGACGTTTTGAATCAGCTGCGTAGACTATACAAAAAAAAGAATGGATTCTCTTATACGAAGTTAAATTTTGAGATACGTATATAAGATATATCCAAAGTTCTTTCACCTCTTTCAAGAGTGATCGACTGATAGCGAGTCGAACTAGAAAATTTGCATTTCGCTTCGAATAGACATCGAATGATTTCTTTCAGAATACATCATTCGACGACCGCCCTCCTCTATCAGCGGTCGAGGGTCGCGACCCGACCGCTTCGAGATAACCGAAATCGCCCGTTCTAACCTCGCCAGAACCGCTTTGTGCCCTTCGTCTTTGATCCCGTTTCCTCAACCCCGCGCCGTATTTGCCGAAGCTCGTCGCCCTCTTTCCTTTTCCATCCACGTTTTATAATTGCTTTCTTGGCCTCCGGCTATGCGCAGCGCCTTCGCAGCCTCCAGCGTTGCCGTTCATAAATTCAGCGAGGGGAAGAGGACGTCGCGAAAGCGGTGGCGCCATCTATTATGCGCACGGAGCGTCTCCGCGGCTCAAAAGGTCGTAATTATGTTACCGTGAAGGGCTGTTGAGACGTCAAATTGCCGAGGGTGTATTAGTCAATTTGATTAACGTCCCGATCCTAATTATTACGCGTGGATGCTGACTTTGATGATTTTGGCAAATTTTGGCGTTTTTGACAACCTTTGACAATTATTAAAATGACCTCGACGTTAATTCAACGGAAAAAGCCTAAAGACGGGTCAGAAACTAGTACTAGCTTTCAAATAACGAATAATATCCAACAAACGATTGAGGAGCCTAAATTTACCCTTCCAGAAGAAATATTCCTTTTGGCTTTGAAAGATCAAGCTGGTCACCCTTCGTTTTGGAACGATTGCCTTTCGAGCGGTCTTCGTGGTTGTGTCTTAATTGAATTAGCATTTCGAGATCGAATTCAACTTGAAGAACAAGGACTGCGACAGAAGGATATAAGGAAAAGGAAAGTTATCGTTAAAGACGACACCTTAACCGGCGATGTTATCTTAGATGAAACTATAAAACATATGAGATCAACACAACCGTGTTCTTTAGAAAACTGGGTGGAGTATCTTACTGGGGACTCGTGGAATCCTCTCCATTTAAAGTATCAGTTGAGAAATGTTCGAGAGAGAATAGCAAAAAATCTTGTCGAAAAAGGTATTTTAACAAATTCAAAGCAAAACTTTCTCTTCTTCGATTTAAAGACATATCCATTAGCGGATGTTTCAGCGAAAAAAGATGTGATTCGCAAGATACAGAATTTATTACTGGCAGGATGGAATCACGATCCACAGCATTACGATAAACGAGATTTGGCGTTAGCTGTAATGGCTCATGAAAGCGACGTGCTGGAGAACGCGTTAGAAACTTTGAGTGATGAAGATTATGACCTGGCCATGTCGCGGATGAATCAACTTGTTAAAATGGACGTAGAAACGGAATGCCGCCGTAAAAATTCTAACGAATTTCTATGGGCGGTATTTGCTGTATTTATAAAATAAAGTTTAGAAATAAACGGATGAAAAAGTTTTGTGAAAAAGTTAATGATTATAAAAGAATTAAGGATTTGAACTAAACGTTTTTAAACTGGCTCGGTAAGATTTTGGACACTCAAATTAGGATTTGATGAGATTTAAATTCCTCGTACTCTTCGCTTTAACTTTCAAACGAGCAGGTGCTTCTTACTGATTATGAGTTAAAACGATCAGCTATTTTTGGTTAAGTATGGGTTATCGAATTTTCAACTTTTTAAAAATTATAGACGTTTGTCTTTTAATTCTTTAGTTTTTTTTTGTTCAAGTGATCTTTATTGACCTTAATTGTGCAGGTGCCATATAACGAAAGTGCAATATCCATTCCAATTATCAAGCACAGTCAGATGAAGGTCGGGTTCTTTTTGAAAGTAACTCACGATACTTTTAAGTATTAAGTCTTCTCTCAGTATTAAATTCTTGGGAATGATGAAACTTTAAGAAAATATTGTCGAAACCTATATTTTACGCACATAGTTATTACCATGTCAAGTTGTCGTCTAGAAGGTCATCAAGAGATCTTCAGACACACACACCTATATGACAAAAATAAACGGTTTGAGTACGCCAGCGCACGAAAGGAGTACCTACATTTCCATTTAAACTATGATTTTATGTAGATTCCCGGCCGCAACGTTGCTTATTAGTATCTCAACCGCGATTTGCATGTTAAGAGAACAACGGAGCGAAAAAAGGCAATAATAAAAGCGCGTGAGCGGATCGCCGGACCGATGTTAAATATGTATGCATGGTAAGGCGGGGCGTAAAAACGATTTGACTGCGATATTTTCAGGCGTAATTATTTTTCAAATATCGAGTCTCGTTCGTATTTGTATGAATATCTGAAGATGTTTCAACGACGAGCTGCTAACAAGCTCCACTCGACCGGTTTTCTTCTTATTTATGTTTACATATACTCTATGTGTAAGTAGTTATTCCGGGATTAATTATACTTTTATATTGATTTTTTTTATTAATGATGAAAAAGTCTGTGTATCCAATTTTACGCAAATAATTAAACGCGGTGAAGCATAAGGCGTTATCCGCTTCACCTGCTAGAGAGGAAGCAGGTAGACGAATCTCTTTTCTAACCACGGCTTCTAAGCTCAAAGTTTCCCAGAAGACGACCTCCTCTGTATGCAAACATAAAACCGAACTGGTCGTATAACGAAACTGTTTTTAACTTAAAATTCAACCCGGTTTCTTGGCAACGGCGCACACCGTCAAACAACTGCATGTACCTGCATGAATTTTAACATTTCGGCTTACATTAAACCCCGGGTTACCACTTTTTGAGGGCCGCCCTCCGTCCTCCCCTCAAAAGAAGATGGAACGGAGTGAGGCCGCGGCCTGAATTCCAAATAAACCGCCTTAGATTACTTTTGTCCGCATCTGTTCGGCCCATGTGTGAGCGGAATCGCAATACTTTTGGTGAACAACGACGGCACCTATACCGTGTGTCACGTAGGTGTGACATGCAGCCACTTTTCCGTTACATAATAATATGGTAAGTGGCAGGAATCTGTTGTTGAAAATAATTCTACTAATTTGAATTTATTCATTAAAAATAGCAACGTACTTTCACAAATGGAAAAATATTGTTACGTTACTCGTTATTGCAAGACATGTTTAATTCATTTGCGAACAAAATGCATATTCAACCGTATGAATATCATTTTTTTCGATCTCTGTAAGTATATAGTCAGAATCTCAAAAGGAAAAGGAGTATTTTGCAATTAAGATGCTTTCCTATCATAGATCAATTAATTATTAAAAAATAAAATAAAAGGAAGTAACGTGTGCATTGTTATTTGTGGCACTCCAGTACGGGTTCTATTAAAATGTATGACATTAAAGAAGGCGTACCGACGGCATTAAAGAGTAATGCTCCATATAATTACGTACGGGACGTACGACGAGTTTAACATGTGCAAGGATGCGTGACGCACAATTATACTCTATTTTTATGGCAACAAACGGTACAAAGTCCGAGTTGTTCGATCTACTGTGGCAGTCACTTCACAATGTTTGGCGACCGCCGATGTCTGCACTCTACTTAATTACCATTCTTAATGACGTAAAACAGTACCAAAAAGGCTCTGCTGGTCGGGCGGTAGCGGTAATTATTTCTCGGCCGCGAGGCAATATATCTATCACAGGCGATTTTAAAACATTGGCCAGCGAAAACAGAAGCGGAGCTTACCTCGGTTGGTGGCAGAAAAAAGCAGGCGACCGGCGACGGCTACAAGAAATGACCGCGCTGATCCGGCGTGCGCAACACATTGTGCCGTCAGTAAAGAACCAGTGTTTTTCTGTATGCGACCGTTTACGTTAAGTCCGTCCAGATAACATCAGAAACCCTCTCTCTTCTAAAAGGCAACGACGGTCTTTGACTTTAACCCAGCGACTAGTTTAATCAAATTATTCACAAACAAGATTTTTCAATTTCCAATACATATTTATAGTGCGTTTTATAAAAGAAACTAATGAAAACATGAAACAAAGAAACTTATTGGAATTCGCTAACGATCAACCTCTAGGTTTAAGAAATATATGAGACACTTAAGAAAAACTCACGTTTAATTGGAATAGATGGCGCCTGTTATTTTCAATGTAGTCTCAGGTAAGTAAGAGACTAGAAGTGTTAGTTTTTGCTCTACGGACGGCTTAAGATAAGGACGCCTTTCTCCAGAAAGAATCCCAATCAATTTTAATTAAGTTGTGTGATTTATATGTGGACACTTTTTCGCAATCAGGAATAATATAGCAAAAAATAACTAAATAAAACAAAGTTAAAGATTACACGCACATTTTATGTTTGCAATTTATAACAATCTTTGAAATCTTTTTACATTTTTATAGAGTAATCATTTAGTCGAACGTTATTTTTTAAGTAATACAATCATCAGCGTAGATTTTAACGATTATATCTAAGTACTCTGGGAAGAAGTATTTTCGTGTAAAACAGAATTTTGACAATGTATAGTTAGTTACAGACACCAAAAGATGTTGCTTTCCATTGCCTCGATAAATTTGAAGTTTACCAGATCTCAATTGTATTGAGTGATACCAGCATCCTGTTCAATAACTAACCGCAAGAATGACAAGATCGTCAATATAGCCACCAGTAAAGAAGTTACAAAAAAGATGACATTCCATCTCCTTGAAGGCATTTTCTGTTAAGAGTCCTTTTTAAGGATGGTATTACCTCATTTTAGTTTAACGATTTTTTGTTCAAGAATGGTCTTTATCAAATTACAGAAGGTAAGAGGAAGATTTTGCTGTACTAGAACCTCATAATGCATGAAAACTACTAATGCGGACTCTTTAGTTTTACGTCTACTTGAATCCTCTGCATAGATTTTAACGATGTTATTTCCAAGTAATCTAGGAAAAAGATGCGGAAAGTGTTTTTTTGTAAAATTACAGACTCCAGTAGATGTTGCTTTCCACTGCCTCTCTCCAAATTGCTTCATTTCCGAAGAAATAGAAGGATCCTTGTTGTGCTCATAACATGGTTACAACTCAGCTTCTTGCATGAGTTCCTGCATATTTTCAGCATATGCAAGTCTCTATAACATGTTTCGTGCAGTATTACAGATATATAAATTCTTTTTGTAACATTTTTTCCAGCAAGTAATGGCATTCTGGGATTACCAATGTCTTTGCATCTATATGGAAAGAATGAAGTCTGTAAATTTGAGGTTTATCAGATCTCAATTGTATTGAGTGGTATCAGCATCCTGTTCAATAACTAGATTTACCTGCGGCAAGAATGACCAGATCGTTAATATAGCCATCAATAAAGAAGTTACAAAAGTCTCCTTGAAGGTATTTTCTGTGAACAGCATTTTTAAAATAGTATCTTCAGTGAATATGTTAGCAAGATTTCCAAAATAATAACTTTCCCCTTTATTCAGACAGCAAGTTTTTTACTTCCTACTGAATGCATCATCATTATTCATACCTTAATCTGCCTCCTGCACACGTGATTTTAGAACATATAGGTTGACACCGATAATTTCATCTCCATATACAAGATGAAACTACTCTTCAGAGTGAAATTTCTTTTATATCAAACCAATATACTCTGAGAGGATATCAACGTCTTTTTCAACGCATGAAAATCAATACCCGAAAGGGAAAAAAATTTCCCTTTATCAAGTAAATAAAAATTGCGGTATTGATCTCAGCCGCAAGCGATATCTGCTTAATCAAACGAAATCATAACAGTCTAATGAACAATTTTTATCCAAATGTTATTAGAGAAAATGTTAAAAACATTAAATCTTAACCATGTTTGTGTTTGTTTTTAATTTATGGCTAATTTCTAACTTGTAAGGAAATATTAATATCATTTGGAAAGTTACGAGAACACTTTGTTTTAACATCTCAACATTTCTCAATGCTCACCAGGTGCTACTTGTCGCTTGAAATTGCAATTCGAAATATGCCTTACTTTCTAGAATTATACATCTATTTACTTAAACTACAAATTACGTAACGATTTGTAATAATCTCATTTTGCAGGTGTTTTGTTCTCTTGATAATTTGTGTTTGCATAAATTTATGTTGTTCTAGGAAACGGAGTTTCTAAATAACCATAAAAAATTTAATTTTAAAGTTGATTACGATATAATGTTAATTATGTAACCACATTTCCACCTAATTTCCGACATTTTACATAATGTACCTTTTACTCGCGGTACAATAGAAAATTCTTTCGGAACTCGTCCGCTGCACTTCATTGTTTTGCAAGCTATTACACACGTCGAGGAACAGCACGAAAAAAGCGAGTAGAGCAACAAGCTCTTGCCGGGGAAAGTTTCACAGCATTTGCATAATACTAAACGGCGTTTACGCTCTCGGCTCCTCCTCTCCATATAGATGGTAAAAGAAACGGCAACGACGCGTTCAAAAGGGGTGTACGTCGCGGCACCTGCACTATAATTAAGCGAGAGATTTAAAGATATTTTATTAAAGCTGGCG